ATACACAATTGTCATTAACCTTTGAAAGATCCACTTCCTCTACTGTCCAGAATGAAGCTTCCGCTTTTTTGTACATCTGCCAGATGTCTGGCCATTGAATTGGGAAAATGACAAATCTTCTTGGGTTTTCCATCAGAAGAGGTTCCAACTGTGGATCGAATTTTTGAGAATCTTCAAAATCTATTTTCTTAACAACTTTGCAAGCGTCAATCTGTAATAGATAATAATTATAGGAATAAGTAGTTACATGATAAATCTTGGTTTTTTAAGGCTACATTTTATAACTACTTACATCATTTTTTACTCCATTCTGATGAGTAATTGTTGGAGAGATACACTGTTTTTTGGGAGATATCTGAAACAATTTTTTCTTTTGATTATTTAGTTCATTAAATACAGATTACTGTCAAATCAAACAAATATTTAGAGAAAATTGTATGTGTGATGATAAAGGTGGCTTCTCAAATAAAACTTATATTTTCTACTGAAACTACAAGTAGTGGCAATATTGCACAATAATTACTCATACCATTAAGTAACCATGTTATCAAGCTGTTTATATTTTTTTTATCAAGAATAATAATAAGAAATGGTAATGGAATTCCAATTGTAACAAAATACTAACTGGAAAGTGTCCATTCATGCTATATTTTTTTACTGACACACTATCTTGCTGATCGGTTTAAAAGAAAAGTTTTAACAAAGAACATTTTTTGCTTTGGTTGACACTAAGGCACTCTACGACAGAATGAGTAGATTGGACAGTGATAAAGTTGATAATTTAATCCTTTCATTTTTATATATCTTGTTGCCGTGCTTGCGATAATATTGACTGTGGATTTCAAGTAACAGGAGGCGAACAACTTGAGAACAATATCGCATGTTTTTGAAATACCATCGTCTGCACAAATGCACATGTATAGCTATACATGGACTGAATGAAAACATTATTATCATTGGAGTAGGTATCGGATATTTTAAAATATTTATTTTTTTCCGAGTAATAATTTGATTACAACAATTTCAAGAAAAAACATTTCGTTGGCATTTGACACTTAAAAAAAAATTCTTTTAGATATATTATACTGATAGATTATGCTGATGCAATACACTTACACATATATTTCTATTCCGAATATAGACATACAAAACTCATATATTTAGAGTTACCTATCATCATATTTTCTAAATAAAATGAAACATGTTGTGTCATTCGACAGAAAAAGAGATGGATTGATTAATAAGTGAAACTGAAATAAAAAAAAAAAAAAAAAAAAAAAAAATCGCCGAGTCCCGAAACAAACCCGAAACTGTTGTTCTTTGTTTTTCATTTCATTTTATTAAAATCCACAGCTTGTCAACAGGAGGCAAACACAACCACGGACACTTGGCCCCACGTCTTGTACTATATCCTTCATCGTATTGAATTTTAGATTTTCAACGGAACCACCCCCCCCTTCCTTACTCCCAAGGGGTAACTCAATAATTCAGGTGAACCCCCTTCCCTCGAGGTCCAACATAAAGACGGAAATAAAATCTCGAAACGACCCCACTGCTCTTACGAGCAACTGCAACTGTTGTTCGAACTACACAAAAGAGACAAATAATTAATAAATCACCCCTATATTTATCGCTAGAGTTTTTTCCGGACGAACGACGAAAAATCGATACGAATGCAGTTTTCATTAATAAAAGCGCGTGCCAACTCGTATTTTCATGATGTATAGGTGTACCCGACAAATTTGTCACACATACCGGCCCTTTGCAGCTCCGATTAAGCATCGTCAGTGAGAATATTTCAAGAACACGACATGTACATGATGTATACACTTTGGTCGTACACCAACCAAAGTGATCTCGAGCGACCGGTTAATCGTGTATCGGTTAAATACTCGGGGCGAGCTGCGGGTCAAGTGGCCAATAAATTCTGTAAAAATTGGCCTCTCCTCGGCGCGCGTCTCACCCACAACACCCCTCGGTGCATCGTACCTATACACACAACCAATTTTCCAACCACATCGCAAAATTAACTCGGATATATAGTGCAGGGTATGTCAAGTGCCACTTGCACGTATTATATACCTCGTGGCACGGAGGGTAATCAGAGGGAGGCCGGTAACGACCGAGGCTGCATTACACCCTATTCGGGACGAAAATAAACATCCGAGAGCGCGCGCATCGGGTTAATATTAATCGACCGCTGTATACCGCGAGTGTACTCGATTACGAGTGCCTGCCGCGACGGATTCTAATCGCCCCCCCCCTCCCCTTCTCTCTGTACAGAGGCACTTTTTGTACACCTTTATATATATGTAATCGAAGGTGCTGTGTGGGAGATGAAACATTTTTCAAACTATAGATCGACGTTTACTTGGAATCCTCTTTGATGTATACCCGTGCTCGAAAAAAAAAAAAGAAAGAAAGAAAGGGTTTAATCCAATAAACGACCGAGGAACGATTATTATTGTTCTTCGAGCACGAAACGAGCAAAAGTGACATTTCTCTTGATGATTCTATTTTTTTTGTGTGTGCCCGATACAGGTGTTTGTAAGTATATATACGTGCGCAAGAGGGCTCACCTTGTTCATGCCATTGCCCATGTTGGCAGTGGGGGTCCAGTCTACAGTTGGCCCGACTGGCAGTGACGTGGGGCCTCTCGAATAGGTTGATCCGTTGGGTCGCGGGCGCCGATATGGTAATCATCGGGGGTCCTCGGCCGCGCAACGCTAAGGTCAGCGGGGGCATGGTCTCGGCCGGTTTTAGCCGCGACTCGGCGTCCGACGAGCCTCCGGTGCGAGTACGCCTGTACTCCCTTGGTCACGCGCCGCATGGCTCTTATTGTTGGCCGGTGACGTTGGCGAGGCCCCTCCATGCTCCCTTTTGGGGTGTTTCTCGCGACGACTTGGTTTCTTCCACTTAGACAGCAGAGGGGAGGGATTCGATTGCACTCGGACGTGATTAAGTGGCTGGCTGGCTCTGGAGAAGAATTTTTTTTTTCTCTCTCTCTCTTTTACCGTGTCTACCGCTGGGTGTGTGCAAAGAGTTTCTTGGTGCTTTTCTTTTGCGCTACTCTGTTTAATGAGGTTCGCGGGTGCAACTCCGTTTTTTTTCACTCCAATTAATCCTTTCGTTAATTGGTACGTTTTTTTGTTTTTTCATCGCAATTGATAATACTTTGTTGCACAAGCATCAAAGTGCACCTATTTCTGATCATTTTTCTTATTCTTTCCCACAGAAAACCACACGTATACGTTTCTTTTTTTTTTTTTTTTTTCAAGTGCATCGCGTTATTTGTTACAGGATTATTGTCAGTTTTTAAATTGTATGGGCAAAGGTCGATCACAATTAGGGTGTACCTTATTTAAAAGTACATAACTTGCATCTCACGATTTTTGTTGGAAAAAATTTTCTTATTAAATTGTTGTAAGGTAAGTGGAAATGAACAAAAAAAAAAAAAAAAAAAAAAAAAACATTTTTAACAATTCCAACAAAGCATGCGTCTAATGAAAACAACAAAATATAAGCCATAGGAAATGTACCTCATATAGAGATGATTGAATGAAAAACAGTACAGTGACGTATCAGTGTCTATATGGAGCACGTGCGTTATACGTTTAAACTCGCAGTATAAATCTTACATTTACATTGTCGGTCCGAATTAGTGGCGTCATCAACACCTCGTCGTCGCCCTCCGCATATCGTCAGTTTCTGTGCTCCCCCATTCGGCCAAGCGCTGCGTCCATTCCTGTACACACCTGCGTGTTTTCAATTAAAACCATCTCAGAGAGACGATGACAATTCATCGTTCACACACGAAGCCAAGCAAACCGATTTTACGACTATGGGTCGATTTTTTGGATTATTTGTCAACTATTGCATACATATAATATACTTAATGTGCAATGTACTATGAATTTGTGAGTGTTGCTCGAGCCAAAGTGATGGCTAATTGCCCCGCGATACCGAATCTTTTTGCATGTACAAGTTGTTCCTAATACGTGTTTATATATATATGTGTGTGTCTGTGTGTGTGGGTACGTAGTGCACGAGACTATTAATTCCTTGAGCCGAGGGTAGGTGTACACGGATATTTTTTCGATTTTTCTTTTTTCACTTTAAACGTAATTTCTTTGCTGGGAGTGTAATGTGTTTCAAAAAAAAAAAAAAAAAATTATCCCCCAGCAAAAACGATGCATTGCCATTGGAAAGGAAAAAAGAGAGAGAGTCCATGATTTTTAATGTAAATTACTCTACGTTATAAAACGTATGGCACTTATATCTGTGAGAAATAAAAAAAGTTTCCTTAATATCGTGTCGTGAATAGCGATAAATAAAAAATGTTCTCTCAAAGTGTTAAAAAAATCCATAAAAAATACTTAATCGCGCTCAAGCTTGGGTATAAATACAATATACCCATATAAATCGTGTTACCCGCACAAATGACTAATGTATATCGTTCCTCCATTATCAAGGTGAAATAGAAAAAAAAAAAAAAATAGAAAAAAAAACGACCGAAGGCCAAGCGTGTCGATATACCGCCGTTAGAGGGTGGGAAGGGGGCGCCGGAGAAACAATTACTCCCGGGAGGCTAATTTCTGCAATTCGACGCGATTAACATTCAAAGTCGAATATTACTGTGACGATTGGTTCGATCGATCGGCCCTCGGTTGGCGCGATTTTTCCTTCGCCCGTGAAAAATTACCTTGCCGCTATTTTTTTTTTTTTTTTTTTTTCAAAAAACAGAAAAACGACCCTCCGCGGTCGATTGATGCATCAGCGGGAACTTGAAGAGACAAAAAAAAGGTCAATCTAAAATATGGGAGAAAAAGGGCCCTGGGCGTGGCGGCGGGCGAGCACTTACACACCTCAGCTGGACTGACCAAGAGAGAGGTGCACCCCCCCCCCCCCCCGTATAGAGAAAGGAGGACGCGGAGTGAAATTGTGCAAAAAAAAAAAAAAAATGCATTTGCTCCTCCAAAGAGCGAGTGTAAGTGTCCGTCACTGCACGCGGGGGGGAGTAATTTTTAATCTTTCGCGTGGATCTCTCTCCCTTTCAGAGGGTTGCTGCTGGCTCTTGTGCGAGCACACAAAGGGCCAATCATCGACGCTTACGTCTCATTTGCGCCATGTACATACGTTTGTTTTACACCCAAAATTACTCGAGTTGAAAAAAGAGCGATTTTTTTTCTTACCGATTTTAGATCGCTGATCGGTAAAACGAGGGACGGTAGCTATTGGCCCGATGTACTTGCATAAGTATAGACGGGTATTAAATTACTCTAATTTGGAATAAATCGAGAGGGGAAAAAGATCGGTAAGCTATATATTATACTCGTCTGTTACGCGCGTTATTTCTTTCGCTCCGTTATTTATGCGCGTTACTCACGCTATCGACATTGCGCACATCCCGTCGATATTACGAGACTCGAGGGCCCGTAGTAACTGTTTTACAATAGATAAAACATCCTGCCGTTTTAGCTTAACCCCACGTGCCACGCCAACAAAACACGAGTGCATTCAAAAAGATAATGGCGAAATGTAAAAAAAAAAAAAATCCGTGTAAGAAAGAGTAAAAATTCCCGAGAGGGAGTTGCAACTCCGGTGCAGTGCACACATCACTTGAGTTGGTATATTTTTTGGCGCCCAGGGAAAATACGACATATCTCTCCTTTGGAGTGAGCAAAGCGCTTTTTGTTTGTAGGGTACATGAAAAAAAAAAAAAAAAAAAAAAATAGCTTGCAACCGGAAGGGGAAAACCTACAAAATCGTCCTTGCCAACCTTACCACTCGGGATTAACCTAATAGCGATGTGCAATTTATGTAACCCTCAATAACATCATCGTCATCATAATTTTTGATGCAACAATGTATATAATCGATCTACCGGAGCAGTGTTTTAACTTTGGCCTCAGAAATATACTCATTGGAACCGTAAAACTAACTCTTATTACACGTAAAAAAAAAAAAAAATAAAAAAAAAAAACAGGATTATCCATATAATAATAAGCCAAATGAAAAAAAAAAACACTGTCTAAAGGGGCGGGAGGGAAGCCCAGAGGTACGAGAAGTGGAGGCCGCAAGCTTGCGTTTCAAGTGCATAATACACGTACATATTATAAAAGTAGGTAATGCGTACAGCGTAGCCTTATTACCTATAGATATGTGCATGCATGTAGAAGAAATCTAAAAAAAAAAAAAAAAAAAAAAAAAAAAAAAAAAAAAAAAAAAAAAAAAAAAAA